CTGTCTCATTGCTGTTTATCAATAAAATTTTGAAAAAAATAAAAAATAAAAGAATTTCTTTCTGTCAGACATGATGGCATATGCCTATAATCCCAGCACTTAGGAGGATGAAGCATAAGAATCACTGTGAGCCTAGGATACGTAGCAAGTTCACAGCTAGCCTGAATTACACGGCGAGATCCTACCTCAAAAAACAAAAGGGCTGGGGAGATAGCTCAGTAGCACTAGAGCCTACCTTGCAAGCACAAACTCCTGAGTTTGATCCCCTACCAAAAAATAAAAAACCCAGGCTGGGAAGATAGTTTGGCGGTCTAAACACCTGCCTGGCAAGTGCAGGACCCGGGTTTTATTCCCGGAACTGCATGCCATGCCAGCCCCAGAGCTGGCCATGGAAACCAGGCACGGTGGCACACACCTATAATCCAAGCTCTGGGGGGCTGAGACAGGAGGATCACTACAAGTTGCAGCCACACAGCAAGACTCTGTACCAAAAAAAAAGATTAAAATAATTTATTTAAAAAATAAAACTAGTTGTCTATTTCACTACTTTTTGTTAAGTAAGAAATATAGCTAATTACTTAATATAAAAAGCTATGACACTTCCTAGACTTCATAAACAATATAAAGTGTATCTCATTAAAAAGTATACTGATACTTTTTGTGGTAAAGACTAGAAGCTTCTAGGAAGCAGCAATAATTTGTACCAAAAAATAAATAAAAACATTGTAAAAACCATTTCTTACAGACACAAAGATGGAGAAAAAATTTATTAGGTCTAAGAATCAAAGATTATTTGGCATAGTTATGATGACATGCAGAATTTGATTGTTAGAAATAAAATCTATGTAGGTTCTCAGAGTAATAATATCTTAGACTCTGGCAAATCTCCAGGTTGTATGAGTTTAATAAACCAGATAGATAATTGTATCCCCAATATCTGCCCGCAGCCCATTTTCTGTGAGATGAATTTTCTTGCTTGTGAGATCCACATGAAAAACACCATGCTCAGAAATGGGCGTCTTCTCAGTGAGCTCTTTTCCCAGGACAGGAACTCGCCGAGGCCCCAACACTGGATCATCAAATCTCATCAGTTTCACTTTGGAAAGGTCTACAGCAAAAAAGAATATCAATACAAGCATTTAATTATTGTCAGACACCTAAACTCCTGAATGAGCCTGACAGTTTAAATGCAAGCACACTGGTCGTCATATATAAGCAAAAATTATCTCATCAGATTAATAGGACCTAACTCAGGTGCAAAGTCAAACTCTAATAAACCTTCATCCCTGTTCAGCTTTTTACCCAAATCAAACACTGTCAGAAGCTGGGCGTGATGGCAGATGCCTGTAATCCCAGCACGTGGGAGGCTGAAGCACGAAGACTGCCACAAGTTTGAGGCCAGCCAGAGCTTCATAGTGAGTTCAAGGCCAGCCTGCACTACATAGGGAGATCCTGTCTCAAAAACACAAAATAAAACACAGAGAAAAAAAATATTACCAGAGTTCTGCATTACATATCTCCTGGAGTAGTAAATCAAATCAGAGATAAAATTAAGTGTATTTTTGAGCATCAATCTATGTGATCTACTATGATTCATAAAGTACCTTTTCTTGGGGACCTCACAATGCCAAGCAGGCACTGTGCCACGGACCTACCTCTCCAGCCTTTACATAAAGTACTGTTTATGTGTGTCAAGTAAGCATTCTTCAAAATAGCAAAGTCTAAAATTTGCTTTTCTTACTGTGCTCCTTCAAATACATTAATCTTACAACACATGCCACTTTTCTTAGAGATACATTTGGAAAAATAATTACTACTCTAAGAAATCCTATTACCCATTTCTTGTTTTGCTCAAAAGATGAAAGTGTATGTATTAACAAGTTGCTGAGAAACAAGAAAGAAGAGGGAGAGTAGAGGGAAAGGGCATAACTTAGAAATTTTAGCTTTGAACTCCAATGCTACCCTACTTGATATTTTCCTGATACGTCCCTGTGCAAATTAAGATAGTTCCTGGCAAAAAAAAAAAGGCACTTGTCCCACGAACAAATTTATGATCCATCAACCCTGTAACCCTGTCAAAAACTGAGCCAAGAAGAAATTTGCCTGAGCAATTCTGTGACTTCCCAATATCAAATGGCTTTCTTTTGTATAGTGGAAAAAACACTTAACATGACTACAAATGTTGGTTCTTGGTTTATATCTCATTCTAAATGTAGAATGGCTAGTTAACACGACCCAAAGAAATGCAAGATATTTTCTGAATTACTTGCATCCTTTTCTAAAATAGATCCCTGGGTGGTCCACGAGCTATACTCTCTCATGTTGCCTTGAGAGTAGGAAACTTAGCACAAGAGGGATAAGGGATAAAAGGAGACTTTAATGCATCCAGCAGTGATACCGGGAGTTTACAAGTTACTTGAGTTATCTAAGAAACAAAGACTAAAGGACCACAAGTATAGAAAACAGATCATGGGGCTTATTACCGTCAAAGCAAACCATGCCTGACCATCTCTGGAGAGTCTCTGCAGAGATCATACAATTTATTCCCAGACATTCCACAATCCCTAAAATTTAAAATACAAAAGGAGCAGGCACAGCCTTCATGACAGACATGATCTAATTTTGGGGAAGAATACAATTCACTTCAACAGCTATTCCAATTCAATTTGCATATCAGTGGCACCAAATAATTTGCTACAGAAACAGTGATGAGTCCTGTTATATGTTATATATAACCACCACCCCCCACAAAAAAAAAAGTCGTCCTAAGCAATACGGAATCAAGCTATTTCAAATAAACCTAATACTCAAATCAGGCTTCTAAGTGACAATACACAATTGCTTTGATGTTTCACCAGGTGGTTCATTACTGCCAATATATTCTTGGGAGTTTTTTTAGTGGTTTTACTATCTTATCTCAGACTTCTCTTATCATTGAAAATGTTGAAATTTAAGTCTGCAGCTACCCAAGATTTAAAGCACTTAGAGAAAAGATGAGAGTGATTGAAAGTCCCTGGGGATTGATAATGTGAAATGGAGCCTTTCACCTCCAAGTTATTAGTTCATATGTGCATGGTTGTGAGTAATTTAAAATCATTATCATCAAACAGTGGCTCAGTGGCCTTTACAGAGTGAAGTGATATTTTAGTCTAGTTCCTCCTGGACCTAGATCATAATCACCCTCAATACAATTGGCACTAATTGAATGACTTGCTAGCTACTGCAGCTGACAGTCTAAGAACTATGTTATTGAATTTAACTCCTTTTCCATCTCATATACTCAAACTACTCAGCCCCTTAGATATCTAAGGATCCTAAGAGCCTTTGGAAGAAGATCAAGGTCAGGTCTCTACTGTAGGTTCTTAGAGGAATATCAATTTCAAACTCCACCTAATGTTTTTAATCCATTTTCTAAAATTTTCAGCAGGTACTAACAATCAACTTAAAAGACTGTATGATAATATTATTCACTAGTATAACATGATTGGAACTGTACCAGGGGTCCCCTGAGAAAAGACAAGAGCCAGAAAATGTATCAGTATAATCCTGAAGCCTACTTAATGCTGTATTTAGGTATGTTTACATTCTTCCTATTAAAAACTCTTCCTGTGGAATAAGCGCTTCCCTGGAAAGCCCAAGGCCCTGAGTTCAATCCCCCGTTCCGCAAAAAAATAAAAAATAAAAAAAAAGTCTTCCTGTCATTAAAAATATGCAATATGGTATGGTAAGCCACAAAATGGCCTCCTATATATTCATATTTCCCCGATTTCCAAGTTCTGCTTCTTGTAGCAAGTTCCAAGAACGAAGCTACCACTCCATGATATCCAGTTTTGAATGGCTAAAGATACTTTGCTCAGTGAAACAGACTCAACACACAAGGACAAATGCTACTGGGTATGCTAGCATGCCTACAGTAATAATGACTCAGGAGGCTGAGGGGGGACTTCTGAGTCGAGGAGGTGACAGTGGGTCTGGGCAAGTGACACTCCATCTCTTAAAAATAAGGGAAAAAAATACAGAAGTGTATCTAATCTAAAGGAAAAAGTATAAATGTAAATGATTGCACCAGTCAGAGGCAGAAAGTGAAGGAATAGCTACCAGGGCCAGGGGGAAGCAGAACGGGGAGTTAGGGTTTAATAGGAGTAAGGTTTCAGTTTGGGAAGATGAAAAAGTTCTGGAGATGTACAGTGGTGATAGCTGTACAACAGTGTGAATATAATACCACTGAACTGCACACAGAAAACTGACTTAAATGCTAAGATTTATATTACGTGCATTTCACCATAATTAAAAAGGACGCCTAGAAGACCAAGAGACAAAAGTGGGGAGGGAGGGTAAAAGCATGAAAAAAATCAAGATGTGTTAATATACAGGTTCAAACTTCCAAAACAGATGTCCACAGAAGGGAAGTAAACCCTGCAAAAGAATGGAAAGCACATAGTGGAATGAACTCAAATCTACTATTTCAATAGGATATTACTATCTTCAATAGAGACTCACAAATTGTCTGAGATTTATACACCTTTTTTAGAAATCTTTTATACTGATGGAAAATGGTATAATCTACTGATTACTATCAAAAAGAGAAAAAAAAAAAAAAAAAAGGCTAGAGTTTTAGCCAAGCAATTACCTATATAAGCAAGGCCCTGGCTTTGATACCCAGCAAAATAATAACAACAATAATAATAATATAAGAAAAAAGAAAAACAGAGCATGTCAACATTAATTTGTCCTCATACAAAAGAAAAATAACACAAAGATACACTAACTCCCTTTGCATTCTGCTCAGCCTAGGATCTGTCTTAGGGATGAAAAAGAAGTCATAAATTGTTACATTGACTCCAATCACACAAGATGCAGACCTAATCCGACACTGAGACTATTTACATATTTTACCAGGAGCACACTGCTTAGAAGAAAAAGTCTGAGCTTTGGAATCAAATAGAATGCAATTTCATGTGCAAGAATTATTAGCTGAATGAATTTTGGAAGTTACTTAGCTTTTCTGAACCTCCATTTCATTAGCTGTACAAGGAAAATAACAATACCTTTTATGTTACAGGTTGTAAAAGGATTAAACAGCTAATACATGACAAAACTCAAGAACTTTCATTCAGTTTCTCTTCTTTCCCAGGAACAGACCCAGCTGGACAAGCTAGTTTAGAATATGAAAGACTTATGTCCCATAATTTTGAATCATCTTTCAAAGGCAAAAAAGTTATTACAGTTTTAGAACCAAGTGGAGTCTTAGAAAAGTATTTAATCAAATGCCTTCACATCACTGAAAGAGAACTCATTTTTGAGCTTAAGTGACATAGCAAAGTCACCAAGCTAACCAGCCATGTCCCAAAAATATGTTTCCTGATTCTGAGCCCAAAACTCTTTCCACAGTACCACAAAGCTGTTCCTAAGTAAGACAGTTACATTTCTTTCTCCCCTCTGCTTAGAATTCTTCAAATCCATAAGCTACTGCCAAATGTAAGTTTTAGAGAAACTACTTACCTTTTATTCCTCGGTCCACTTTCATTAAACGCCTGATTATAGAATCAGAGTTATCCCCTTGCCTGATTTCAATTTTGGTTGAGAAGTGACCATTGGATGGCTGGGGATTTACTAGAGAAACTGGCACTCCAGGCTGTGAAAAAGAAGAGTAAATTATTGTTGTAGAAAATTAAACCTGAATACTGCCAAGGGATGGAATCATCGCTGTTACAATTTTAATTCCCAGTGAAGGCCATATCTAATCCTGCTATTCTGCAAGCATGAGCAAGACATATTCAAATATGAAAAAAAAGTCATCAATCTAAAACTTATAAGCAGATGCCCAGGTAAAAATGATGGCATTTGCATACATCAATAGTAATAAGACAATAACAAGGATTACATTTTCTCTTCTACAACTACCATCATTTCTCTGCCACGACTACTCCACTTAACATGAAATTCTACCACACATCAGGCACTGTACTGAGAATAGATATATAGCTCTTTATAGATATATAGCTCTATACCTAGAAAGGTAGTTATTTTGAACCCCTTTTCACAAATGAGACTCTGTAAGATTAAACAATGAGTCCAGGGTTAAACAGAGAGTAAGTAGCAGAGCAAGGATCAAACCCAGTTCTATGCCATGCTGTCTTCCACATTAAAGACACTACTTTTTGCCAAATGCTGCCCATCTGACTAGATCCTTTGTGACTAAATAAAATCTCCAAAACCTCCAAAATAATTTTATCTTCAGTAATAATGGTCAAAAAAATAAGAAAAAACCAATTCCAGCATAACTTCAGATGCTGCATCAGGCTGGCTTACACCAAAAAGCCTTAAATAACACACCAGGGATTGAACTCAGGACCTTACACTTGCCAGGCAAGCACTTATTCCACTGAGCTATCTCCCCAGCCCCTCATCTGAAGTTTGAAAGTTTCTTTTTACTATTTAAAAAAGTTTTACAATTCAATTATTATTGTATTTTTGTAAGTAAAAACCCAGTTATAGGCTACAACCACTGCTCCTCCCTTTGCTCTTTGCTGTTTTTGGCCACTGTGAACTACTGCCTTCTGCTATGTCCCACTTTGCCTTAGATCTAGCCAAGTATGGACCGAAACCTCTACTAACTGTGAGCTAAATGAACCTTTCCTTTCTTAAAAAAAAAAAACAAGTTATAAAAATCATATTTTAAAAATACCACTTATTTAATATCTGATAGCATTAACAAAGAGTAAGAAAGGAAAAGTTGAGTCTTACAACAAACAGAATATGACACCTCAAGTTCATCCCATTTCTAATTATAACCTGGAAGATAACATTCACTTAATTTCTCTGGATTTCCTTCCATCTTTAGAATGATGGATTTAGTTGTAATGATCTCAAGGTCTTCTTTAGCTCTAAAATGCATTGACTTAGTAGGATTTCTTCAACTTACTTCTGTTCTAAAAACATTAAGTGGTTTCCCAGGGCAACAGTCTTCCTGGACCTTATCTTCTGCTTCAGAGGCAAACTTGACTTCTATGTGTTCTAGCTAAACAGAGGGGGAAAAAATGGAAGTGATTAGTATCACTTCATAAGACTGAAATTAATTACCACCTCATTTCATCAAGAGTAAAATAGGTTCTCACTTAACATGCAGTCTTATTTTCCATACAAACACTGAATGAAATCTATAATCACTTAACACTCATCTTCGATGCTTCACAGTATTGCTATTTAGTCACATTTATCTTTTTCTATAATGAAATCTATGTCTGCCACATGAGAAAAAAGTAAATCAGCATAAAAGGTTTCTACTCAGACAATCAGAAGTTCAGAAATTTACCATTTAAGAATAAAAGGCTTCTACTTAAATAAATGGAAGAAAAGCTAAGAAAGGCAGTATACTACACTGGCCTAAATAAAAAATGATCCTAAATATAATTCACTTGTCCAAATGAAACAATTCAAGGAGCTTTCTAGCTTATGTGAATATATACAAATATTTGGATATACATATATATTTTTTAAAAAGATAACTGCTAATATTGAATTTCAGTATTAACTCTCATTAAAATGCTCAACTGCTGGGGGCACGGCTCAATGGTACAGCACAAGCTTAGCAAACACAAGGTCTTGGATCAGTTCTCAGCATCAGAAAAACAGTAATCAAATAAATGCTCATGTAGAAATAACTTTCTTCTGTTTCCACTTTTATGAAACAATTTTAATCAAACTGTAAACTTGATTTTTTTTTTAAATTTAAGTCTTTTATTTTATCACCAGAACCATCTTTTGATTTCTCTAACTTTTTTTTTTTTTTTTTTTTTTTTTTGGTGGAACTGTGGATTGAACTCAGTCCCCTGAGCTTGCCATGCAAGCGCTTATGCCACTGAGCCATCTCCCCATCCCCTCTAACAGATATTTCTCGAGCAAATTATTTTCCTTCTGCCTAAATTGTTGGAGAGAAAGCATTTTTAGAATCTAACAATGAAGTTGTGACTGATAAAACATCATGAACCACAGACTATAACTAATCTGATTCTGTGAAGCTGAGGTTTAAAAGAAAAGGAGGTAAGAAGCAACTCACACGCTCTACAATATGGAAGATTCCGGGAGCATTTAAATAAAACCTCTCTACATTTCCTTAAGGACAACTGGAGGGAATACCTAGACAATACAGTTAGTTTTTATGTACAGGATAACTGATAAATGAAATAAGATGATAGATCACTTTTTTCTTTCTGTAACTTTTATATCCCCTTTCTTTTTATTTCAGAAATAATCTTGACTAATACATTTGGCAACAGTACTAAGTATACAAGATGAAGTTGATAAAAAAGCTTATTATAAAAGAACTTGCTTATGGCTTACAACTGAATAATTATTACAATCTCTGGTTCTTCTCACCTCAAGGGAATTAGTCAGGTAAACTATATTTTCCATAAGCACTGCCTGTTCATCAAATTCCAACTGCAAATCCAGAACACGAGGCCCCATCTTCTCCACGTTTTCCTAACAGTCAAGATAGTTTTGAAATACAAAAACACATGAAAAAATATGTTGAAAAGACCAGCACAATGATGTACATCTGTAATCCCAGCTAGTCTAGAGGTTAAGACACGGTGATCAAAAGTTTAAGGCCAGCCTGGGCAGCTCAACAACACTGCCTCAAAATGCAGTTCTACGGCAAAATGCCTTTAGGGTCAATCCCTAGGGCTGCAAATGATAGTATGTAGAAAAGAGTATGTTCCCTCCAAATCACTCATTCTCTCAATTAATAAAAATCTTTAAATTTCGGCCATGAAAGGAAAGGCCTTGGATTAATTTCCCGTGCTTATGTTTGCTCATTAATGAAATTATTAGCTCAAAACAATTATTGCTTAAAGTAAGGTTTAAGAACACTGAAAAGACTAGAAGGCACAAAATAAGTATGTTTTTATCATTCTTTAGACTGCCTTAATATACAAGCCCAAAGAATTTGCTTTGACAATCAGATGTTAAGAAAATATCATGTCAGGTAATCTTTTTTAAGTATTCTAAATTTTCCAAAACACCAAATGAAAAATTTCCAAAGATACTAAGGGGAGCGATATAAATAGAAGGGTTCCTGAGGGAGCTGCCCAGGCCGGGGGCCACACAGCCCCATGAGGATACTTGCAGGCTGGCCTTCCTTCAATCTAACCCAGGAACCAGAGGCTCTGTGTGGCCCACGGCATGCTTCAGAGGCTCCTCTGCTACCACAGGACCTGCATGCTTGTCCACGCTACTTCTCACTGTAAGCCTCCTCCCCTACCTGCTCTGTGGACCCTGCCTCTTGCTTACAAAGCAAATCCTGACCAGCTTGAGCCATGAGGAATTATCCCTGGGCCCAGAACCCCTTTATCACACCTTGGGAACCTTTCCTCATCCAGAGTGCCAAATAGCATTTCCTTGTATCTTATCACTGCTCATCTACCCTCCTGGCTAAATTGTATGAGCTCAGCTAGGTAGTGTGGCACATGTTGTTAATCCCAGCACTCAGGGAGGCTGAGACAAGAGGATCTCAAGTTGGAGTCCAGCCTAAACATCTTAGCAAGAATTTGTCTCAAAATAAAAATAAAAAAAGCTGGGCATGTAGCTCTGTAGGAAGGCCCTGGGTTCAATCTCCAATACCAAGAAAAAGTCATACTACAGTTACTCATAATCTTACAGCATACAAAAAATAATATTCTTAATCTTCCTGAATATTCAATAATTGCTACTTAAAATGTGCTATTAGCAACGCAAGTGCACAAGCATAGATCTATGGTCTAAACACGTTACATTCACATGAAAGTACCTATCCACTGCTTCTGTTTGACACCAGCTATGGATTAATAACCTTTATCATTACAGAAGTGGGCTCCTCACAAAAAAGAACTCAAATGATTTCTCTATCTCCATATCCCAAGTGCTCCACCACTTGCCTTTCTACCACGTTACGACAGCATGAAACTCCTTGTGAGATATTAGCACTGTGCTTCTGACTTCCCTGCCTCCAGAACTATAAGGAAAATAAGTTTCCACAGTCTATAAATTACTCATTCTTAGGTTGGGTGTGTAGCTCAGAGGTTGAATGCTTGCCTAGGCCCCGGGTTAAATGCCCAAAACCATAAAAAGAAAACAACAATAATAATAATAACTACCCAGTCAGTGGTATTCTTTTATAGCAGAAAAAAATGGACTAAGATACCATCTAAATTGTTTCTGATGCCATAAGAAGTACTTAGCCATTTTCATATTCTCAGATTAATCATTTTCAAAATTTACAAACCACTAATTTATACAGAAAATTACTAATAGTATTAAAATATATATATTACCACTCAATGATCTGACAGTTCTTCAATTTTTTTTTTTTTTTGCGGTACCAGGGATTGAACTCAGGACCCTATGCTTGCCAGGCAAGCGCTTATTCTACTGAGCTATCTCCCCAGCCCCAGTTCTTCAAATTTAAGTGAGATCCTAAAGAAGCTAACTCTTTTGACAACAAAAACTAACCAGGGCCAAAATATCAGCAGAGCCACTGTTGAAAAACCCTAGCCTGGCCAGCCAGATAGCTCAGCAAATTAACGTGCCTGCTTAGGCAGATGGGGGGGGGGGTGTTAATCCCCAGCCTGCCATGCTGGTCCCGCCCCTGGGACATGCTGAGTTGACAATTGAGACTGAGCATGATGACATGCGCCTGTAATCGCAGCACTTGGGAGGTTGAAAACAGGAGAATCACTCTCAGTGTGATCTATGTAGTGAGATCCTGTACACCCTGTAGACACTGACCTAAATTCATAGGAGAGAGAGAGAAAGAGAGAGAGAGAGAGAGAGAGAGAGAGAGAGAGAGAGAGAGAGAGAGAGAGAAATTTGACTTGGCAATTCTAAGTCAGTTTTTCTATCACAGTACATATTTTCACATATTCAACAATTCCAAAGGTCAACCCAGAACCTGAGAGCTCATTTCTCACCACTTCCTGGAAGGTGCCACTTAGCAGATTTCGAGGGGCTGACTGCCCCCATGGATTCTTTCCTTCTCTCTATTCTGCTACCTAACCATGACTCAGGGGATCACAACCACACAACTGCTTACCTTAACCATAGCAACAAATGGCATCACTTTCTTCATGTATTTCTTCAATTCCGGCATATTACCTAGTTCATTAGCAATGACTTTGTTATCAGGCAATCTTCCACTGTTGACCTAAAAGTGGGAAAGGGGAAAAAATGTGGAGAAAAATGTTTAAAAGATAACCCAGGCTTGTAGGTGGACCCTTCGGAAGCCAGTCAGACAGAACAGTGGCCTTCACCAGAGGGTGGTACATCTCTAGCAGCACAGGGAGTGAAAGGTGAATGGAACAAGGTAAAAGGGAATTCTCTCTCTAAATTTAGAATATACACACTTTTTAGTTTAAAGGAGAAAACTGAGTGCACTGCACTAAATATTTAGTGTTTCTTATAGTAAGTCTCTGGGATTATAACATCAGATCCTACCTGCTAAGAAACTGACCATCAGAAAGATCTTACCTTCAGGTTTCTAAAAGCATTTCATTAGACATATTAAAAAGGAAAGCTATAGAACTATTATACAAGATTTATACAGTACCTATTTTTGAATGCTCTTGTTTATAAATTGTCACCACAAATGTAAAAACAAGAATCGCTAGTTATCAATAATTAAATGTTATGTTGAGCTGTGGGGGACTCAGGTCAATAATTTCTGACATTGCCAGTTAAACAGAAGACCCAATGCTATTATGGGCTACTGGACTCTTTTAGAATATTTTGCTGAGTTTACACACCTATAATATTCAACAACAGAACTTAAAAAAATTGGGATATAACTATGAATGTCCATTTTGTATCTGTGTATTCAAAGTGGTTGGGATAGATATACAGTTGCATTCTCTTAATGAATAGAATGATTTGTTCTAATGGTGTTTGTAAGTAGGATCACAAGTCTGCATCTTGTACAGCAATTAACCACTAAGAAGAATATATGCAGTGTATTATTTGTTGAAACTGTACTTTCGATTTGATTTGAAACTGTCTCATTGCTATATGTTTATCAATAAAACTTTGAAAAGAAAAAAAAAATAATTAAAAATAGCAACATTTCTATTTACTGAAAAATAAATGCTTATACCCAAACATAGTGGCAAACACCTGTATTCCCAGCACTCGGGAGGCTGAGGCAGGGGGACTGCCACAAGTTTGAGGCCACCCTCAGCTACACAGCAAGTTTAAGGCCAGCCTGGACTACATAGTGAGATCCTATCTCAGAAAAGAAAAACAAGTACTCAAGAACCAAGATTCAAATATAGTGTTACAGCTTCATGAATCCCACTGTTCAAGCCACAACAAATTCAAAAGGCAAACTATCCTTTTGCTTCATAATTTTAAATATATATAAGAAAAATCAACATACAATTAGATCTACTTTTATTTTCAAAAATGAGAAATGGCAGCTCTTTTCCTACCACTCACTTATAAGCTACCAAGAATAACAAAGGACGTTCCGTGCCTAGGGGAATTAAACAAAGCTGCCTATCTTCTTTCCCTTGATATTGTGAACATCCTAAAAATAAAAACAACACAAGCAGGACACAACATGGTTAAGGGAAGCCTACTGAGAGCATCACCTCAAAGTGGTTACGCAGAACTGTCAGGGTGGAATGCTGCCAAGGTGGATAGCTCTTCGCTACATAGATGGTGCAGTGTGAGGGCCTCTGAGGTGGTTGCTTGTCAGTCTTCTACATAATAGGAAAAAAACAGCAATGAGAAAAATATTACCCCAATACTATCAAAGGCTTTAATATTTAAAATTATACAAGAGCCAGGCATGATGACATCCACCTGTATTCCAGCACACTGGACGGCTGAGGCAGGATGCTAAGTTCAAACCCAGCCCAAGAACTTAAGAGATTCAGAAAGGCCTTGTTTCCAAACAAAAATATAAAAATATCCGAGTACACTGTACACAGCTTAGTAAAAAGGCCCCAGATTCAATCCTCAGTTCCACAAAAAATAAATTCATATAGGACTATATTAGCAGGGGATATACACTACACATCTTAATTTCCATCACTGTTAAATGTTATGTGAAAAAGAATTATGATGTGTTGTATACATGTAACAACTTCCCACAATGTGTGATCATTACACACTACAAACATGTGACAATGAAAAAGTCATTTAATTATTTTTAAGGAATAATCTTCAAATGACTTTTTTAAAAAATGACTTCACCTTCCCTTTAGCTGGCATCATGTAATTCTTGAGTCGTAACCTAAGGTCATGTGCTACTTCCATGAGATACTGTGAGGAGTGTATCAAGATTTCATCCACAGGACCCGCCACAGGCCATGAAGCATTCATGATTGAGTCAGACTTGTAAAAAAACAAAAGCAAAGAGTCAGTGAAATCAATTGTTCAATACAACTATTATACAGTTTTTGCTTAGTTTTATACCACGCCTCCATCTGTAAATGTGTGCTCAAAGTTCAAACCTGACTCCACATAACACACCTCCACCGCCCCTGATCTAATGTTCCCTAGAATTCATGCTGTGAAGTCTGACTCCATATTCCTAAGTAGCATCCATTTGTACAAGCATATTAATACCCACACACATATGCTCACTTTCAAAGAAACTTACATAATGCTAATCTGCCTATATTTAATCATTATATAAATTATGCACACTCTCAATCTATTAATACAGCCAATACTAGAAGTGTATCTACACAATATATAGAGTCCATTTTTGTATCTTTCATGCATGAAAAATGCAGAAGCACCTGGATATTAAGGTCGGAAAGGAGTTATTAAACCAGCCAATCTATTTATCTGTAAGCCTGGAAGAAATACTGAGTTTATCTTCAGAATAAGAATGCTTGGGGCCGGGGAGATGGCTCAATAGAATAAGCGCTTCCCTAGCAAGTGCAAGGGTCTGAGTTCAATCCCTGGTTCCATCAAAAAAAAAAAAAAAAAAAGAATGCTAATATAATATCCCTGAATATGCAGTCCTATACATGCCAGGAATTTTGTATAAAACAAGAATATTTATGTGAATATGTGTTCCTATCTTTGTTTATAAACAGCTTATAATTGTTGTTTTATACTGTTCTCAATATTTTCATTTTTTTAGCAGTTGGAAAAACAATGATTTTGTATACATTCAAATGTACTGGGGCCGGCAAGATAGCTCAGCAGTCTAATCACCTGCTGTAGGCAAGCTTAAGCAGGTGCAGGGACCGCATTCAATCCCTGGCACCATATACCGTGCCATCCTGGTCCTCAGGGCAGGCTGAGCCAGCCAAAAACACCCAAACAAATGTATTTCATTTCCTAAGAGATGAAAATTAGGTAGACAATTACACACATGATCATATTTTCAAAATATGTATACTGCACATATACAAATAATGGCACACAGATGATTTGCCTGTCTTATTTAGCTGTTTTAACCTATTGAAATAATTATGACAAATCTAGTATTATTCCTAAGATACGCTTACTTTCAGTTTTTTTTTCCCTTAACCGAAACAAGCACAGTAAATAATGCAACACTTAATTAATAAGGCCAAAATAAAGCCCCTCACAACACTTTACACCAATATAAGTACCTTTCCCAGGAGTGTCCAGATATGCTCACACAAATGTGGACAGATTGGAGCCAAGAGAAGGGTCTGAACTTCAATAAACCGGAACACAAGTTCTCTGTGCATCCCTTCTATGGCCAGTTCACGGTATTTGTCTTTTGCAGCCTATAAAAGTTGAAATTATTTACTATTCTCTTCATTTTACTTTAAAATAAAAATAAAGGGGGCTGGTGAGATGGCTCAGTGGTCTAAAGCACCTACTTAGAACAAGCTTAGCAAAACACAGGGACCGCTGTTCAATCCCCCAGCACCACATGCCAGCCAGCCCCGCCCCCTGGTGGGCTGAGCTGGCCACACACACACAAATAAATAAATAAATAAAATTTAA